GTATATAAGCTGGGGGAAGAAGAAGAAAGGAGGGGACGTTTGTAGTGATGGCGTCTGTCTTCCCAAGTAATCTTCACACATGATGGAGCCCTGCTTTCCTGGAGATGGCTGAACACGTGCCTGCCCATGGGAAGTAGTGAATGAATTCCTTGCTTTGCTTTGCTCACGTGCGCGGCTTTTCCTTTCCCTATTAAAACTGTCTTTATCTCAACCCACAAGTTTTCTTATGTTTACTCTTCTGATTCTCTCCCCCATTCCATTGTTGGGGGAGTGAGCGAGCAGCTGTGTGGTGCTTAGTTGCCAGCTGGGGTTAAACCATGACATTGAGCAAAAATTCTACATAGTCAAATCTTCATATACAGTATATGACATTAGGTCACTGGAAAGTAAGCAAGGATGCGAACTTCAACCAAAGTCTGTCAAGTCAGCCATAGATACTTCTACACCAAAACACTGAAAGGCAGTAAACACATCAGGTGGGTTTGGTTTGGTTGGGGTTTTTTTGCTCAGACTCTCAAAGACTTCAAGACAGGATGACTCCTGAAGGAGTAGTTAAGAATCCAGATACTTTTTAAAGACAGCACTGGATAACCAAAAGTCCTAAGCCCACCCACCAATATTAATTCAGACGAGCAGGGCTTCAGTATCTTGACATAATTGCAGTCACTAGAATTTTCTATAGGGTGTTTCTGTCCTTAAAGGGGATATGAGAGTTTTGATTTTAGGAAAGCTAACATTTATGACTATTCATTAAACATCTTTTAGCAATGGAACATACTAAACTAAGGTTTGTGTGAACTTCATATATGTTTTGTTTGAGCATATTGAGCTTTTAGAGACATTTTGGGTTGTATTTTGAACATAAATATAATAAAGGGTATGACCTATCCAGAGATGCTTACACCAAGCTGTCTATCAGAATGGAATTTGTAGAGAAAGTTCCATACACAAATATTGTAGAGGAGAGATTTAGTGAGGTTACACATTTATCTAAGAAAGCTAAGATTATTCTAGCAAAGTCTGTTTCCTTCAGTCTGCTTATTTGTTTATATGGTGACTTTTTTTCTAAAAGCAAAAGAAAAATAATAGAGGCTTCCAAATGAAATCTTATACACAGGTATAAGAAGAGCTGTCCTAAGTCAAGCCAAAAGTATACGTATTCCAGTACTTTTAACTCCAACAGCAATCATAAGAGGGAATGCCAAGAAAATAGGATAAGAAAAGGGCAAACATATTTCCTCCAGCCTCCACCCATTTCCATGTCAAAGATTTTCTAAGCTGTCATTTCTAAGGATGGAGTTTCTGTGTATTTAGCAAGCACAAATGGATCTCTCCTCCATAATTCTGTTCAGCCTTCTTCTGCACCCATAGTATAGTTTGGCACAAAATGCATGACCATTTAGCAACACATAAAGCAGTCAAAGTTTAAAGGTCTCCGTTTCAAGCAGAATTACTCCTTAAGCATATTCCATTGCTGCAGAGCAGGAGCACTCTCTTTCAGGATTTTCCACCTGACACAGCTATACTCCTTTTAAAGGCTTATAATTTACTGACTCAGAACACACGTAAAACAAATGCCGTCCCCATTGCAAGGGGAATTAGAAGTTTATTATCAGCTCGAATCCCTAGTTCCAAAAGCTTGAATCTGAGCAGTAGTATTGCAGTATAGATAAAAGGTTAGACTAGGACTCACGTGCTTAGCATTCTAAGTCCTGGCTGCGCACCTGGCAAATTACTTTACTGCTCTCTGCTTCAGTGTCTCCATCTGTAAAATGTGAATAATACTGCTGATTTCCTTTGAAAAAAATTTAAGAGCTATTGAGGAAAAGTAATATATAACAGTATGGTACTGCTATTCTTACAGTTGATTTTGTACACAGAAACCTTTGTTGGATCTGTTAGTTGAATAGGATTACTGAGATGGTTTCTTTTTTCTTCTATTATTGGCTAATATATCTCTTTCCTACACTGTAACACATAAGATCATTGAACTGGGGAAATGTGGATTGCTAGATGTATCTCTCTTGCAAGAGGAACAAGTTAGTTGCCCAAAGTAGAGAAAAAAAGGTTCTCTTTCAACAGCTGAACACAAAGATAAATTCCTATTATCCTAAAGAAACCAACAGACAAGAATATTTTTCTCTCAATGATCTGTGTTTGTAGCCCTTAATCTGCATATCAGGAAAAGACTAATTTCTTACAGCAGAGCTAAGAAATTAAACTGTATCCAAGGACATCTGTATGTTGTCTACTGGTGCAGACATTACTGAGAAGGCAGTGCTTGCTTGACTGAACCAAGTATATCCCTATTATCTAAGGAATACAGAAAAAATGTCCAACTGTAACCATACATCACGCCTCTCTTAGACAGTTTACTTCTGTCAGGTGTTTTTTGAGTTCCCAAAACCTCTTGAAAAAGCTTCTATAGAAACTTTGTCCTTGCAAGATAGTGAGAGCTTTCTTTTGAAGAGATTCTGGCAAAATTTCTCTCTGAGCAGACAGACAAAAACGGTATGAAGAACATTAGTTCACTTGCAGTATCAGTATAGAATAATGTGAAAGCCAACTTGGAAGATTAAAAAAAAAAAAAAAAACAACGCACAAAATAATAGCAGCCTTTGTTGCATCTGAATCTCAAGGAAGATCAAAACAGTAGATTTTTGCAATAAAAACCTACCGTTACTTTATTTTTTTTTCCTTTTAAGAGGGCAAAAAAAGATCAAGTTTTGCAAAGCTTCTAAAGCTATAGGGAAAGGCAGTATTTTTCAGCTTAACACTTAACTCTTTACTCTTGAAGCCTCCACCAAAGAGGCTTTGGAACACAGACCTTCAGGCAAATCAACTCTCTTTAGTTTAATATAGATCAGAGACAATGTCTTGAATCAGCAGCTGAAATCTTTCTTTCAGATAAGCATCACTCCCACTGTGAATTCCAAAGAACAGAAGGTCATTATGCTACACTAAAAAGATTGTGAAAAATACAAGATCCATCACAAGATATTAAAAACATATCAACACAAGTAATTTCATAACAGGGCAACAATTTCCATGTTAGTGTTAATAATGCAATCACGATTGATAACCTGTACGTATTTCTCAGGTAACAGAAGACATGCAGAAGGGTGACTTTCAGCTAGTAAAGTACCTACTTGTGAATGATCTGCTTAGCTGAAATGCTTAGTGAATCTACCTAAAATGCAAACCAGGCAGAAATGTTACTTACGCAATACCAGACCACAGATTGAGGAAGAGACACGAGGGAAATCTGGTACAGAGAAGAGTATGCCCTTAATTGATCAGGACATATGGAGCACCTATGCAGAGATGACACTACATTTAAACTAAGTAATAACAGCAGATCATTGTTTGCTGCTGTTTCAGTGCTCTCTCCAAACTCCACACTTGCTGCCTGAAATATGTTCTACTGTACAATAATAGATATGGGAGATGGAATTCCAAGAAACAAAGCTCTGTTCTCCGGACATCGCCCACCAGAATTCCCACTGAAATGGGATACAACCTTATAATATTTGTACCTCAGATATAATCTGAGAGTCACAACACATAAAGTATATTTTGCATAGGTTGATTTTACTTTCATAAATTGATTTAAATAAATGTTACAGTAAAAACATGACCAAATTTGTTTGGGCTAGCAAAGAATGATCAAAAATACGCTTTTTCCAGGATTAAGCTCATGCCTGTTCACTTTCTCATTATGCAGTATGTGAAAACACCTCAGAAGAATCACAGTCCTTGAAACACTTCAAAACCAGATACACCTGATGTTTTACCCATTTAGTCCTGAATAAACTCAAATGAAACTACTTTATTCTACAATGCATTTTTCATTAAAAAAAAAAGTCACAAGGATTTTAATTATTTGCCTACTGAAATTATAATATTTCTTCACCAACATGCTTAATTACCCCTAGTGCTTGGTATTAAGTTGATCCAAACAAAACCAAAAAAAGGCACTATCATTACCCCCAAAACAGATGCTCACTTCTATGGCAAACTGTTCTTTGGGATGTATTTTGCACATATGTAGTATTATTAGAGGTGGGTGATCTCTGGATCAGGTTGGAGACTTCCAGTACCAACTACTGTAGGAACAGCACATGCAGAAGTAGTGGTCTCAGACCTCCAGGTAAGAGAACAACAATGAAGAGAACTACAAATCACCCTTGCAGTGACGGACTTCAAAGAAGGGAAGAGGATGATCATGTGAGAGCATAAACTTCATACATGAAAAAGTTAGAGAGAAATAATCAATTCTTTTTTGTGAGCAAACATTTTCTGTCTATACTTGGTTTTCACATGTGAAGATTAATATTTAAGGGCAATGGTTTAAATTTAATACTACTTTAATTTTTGTAGTTACTACAATCTATACAAGACATCCAAGAATTACTAATAAAACTGTACAAAACAGTTGAAAGCAAAGAACATGTTTCTTAAGGATCATATGTTGTGTGTTTTGCCAGATATTGTTAAGTTTGTCATTTTACTAAGATACAACAAATGTTTAAAGTTTCCTCCACCATCATTGTATCTCTAGAGTTGGTGCAGTGCAATGTATTGGCTACCATTTTTAATCCTCAAATAGCTATGTTTTCTTAACACTGCAGGGACACGTATTTTTCAAAACAACATGTGATTATAACCACAGATAGCAAAATGTATATTAAAGGCATTGCTTTAACCTTTTGATTTTCCTGAATTTATTTGATGTTTGGAGCTATGGTGTCATAGCTGGAAGAAGCAATATTATCCAATTTCAAAGAAATACTCAATACAACATCTTGGCCAACTTAAAACCATTACTTTTAACAAGTATCACATTTTTTTGCATTTGATTTCACTAGCATATTAACTCAGGACAGAGATCATGTCTTCAAGTCCTCTCATGTAGACATCCATGAAATCATGCACAAAAGACAATGATAACAATTAAAAGTTCTTTTCTGTGCATTTTCATTTAGACAGAATATTCTCACCTCTGTTTCATCCCATTTCAGATCTATTACTTTCTGTCCCGCTTTTGGCTGCCATGTAGGTAACGTCACAGTTGCTCTTGAACGAGGAAGAACAATGTCAGGTTCCAAGGTGGGTGAGACCGGCCTGCTCTGTCTTGTTGACATTGACTCTGTCCGTTCAGAGACCGGAAGGCTGTGAAACGAGTGTTCACAGTTTGTTCCCTCATAGCCTTCACTACAGAGACAGAGGTAGCCATCACCGCTAGTGCTGCAGTTACCATGGTGACAGGGGTTGCTGGCACAAGGATCTGAAACAAACTGGGAAAAACATATCATATAAGTCAATTAGTGCATATGAAGGATTTATTTCTCAGCTTTACAAAGACCATAAAACAGGATTCTTTTCCTCTCCTGTATTTATCTTCTAAACATACTAAGGAACCAAGCTCATCTATGATTTATCTTCAAGGAAGTAAATTCAAAGGATTAAAGAAAGATACAGATTAATCTATATTAACCACTTTTCTCAGACCATTTAATCCTAATTCACCGTTGACACATTCAAGCAAAGTGATAAACGTGAAGTAGGAACATGGCTACTGCTCATGTTCAGGAATTTTCAGAATGGGTCACAGAACTCATACAGATCACCAGGTCATGAAGCAGCTCTGTGTTGTCAGAGTTAAGCACATCACACAATCCTATCCGTGGACACAACTTCCATTTTAAAACAGCTGGGCCTTTTACCCCCACTTTGTCTAGTGGACAGCAATTTCAGGATCTGATTCATTCCGGTGCTAAAAACTTTCTAACATGAGTTAGAAAGTTGGGGCAAAAATGTGCTTATTTTTAACACAGCATTTATTTATGATAGTATAGGACAAGACTGAGCTCAGTCACATAGGAAAAATCCTGTCCTAGGCCTGCCTGCCACCTTCTAATTTTTAGCTTAAATTTACCTACAGCTAGTTTGTACTCAGTTTCTTATGTCATCACTGACTTTCAGGTTAAATGTCTTTTCCCTCTACTATGCTGATGTTTACATCTATAATGTATGTATAGAATACATCTACAAACTCTTCTCAAGTTCCATCTCAGACTAAATAAACCTTGCCTGCTCAGTCTCTTTGTGGAGGACAAGCCCTCCATTCACGTGCTCATTTTTGCACCCCAGACTCCAAAGTTTAGCACTGCCTATTGCAAATGCATTAACACTTTTGTTTGTCCTTGAAATGGCTTCCTTGATATTACTTAAGAAATGTTTGCCTTAGTCAGAGGCAGAGAGTCAAATCTCACTGCCGACTCACTGTCATCATCTGACCAGCTAACGCAGCCAGGCGGTTCCCTTGATTTGGCTTCACATCAAAGTCATAACCCATCACTGGAAACAGAAATTTTCTCAGTCTTAAAAGGCAAATTTCACACAAGTGCTCCAGTCCTAAAGGCTACCCAGTTCTTCCTGGCACAGTATTCCAGTCCTTCCCTGCATAAGCAATGCTTATTATATTTCTCAGTAAAGCACCACAGTTATTTATTATGTAATATTTGTTTAAATTATCATAAAAATGACATAAGCTTTATATAATATTACTGTTATAAAAACAAGTATTGGGTCTACACTGGGAATTTTTCAAAGGCCTGGTGTCAGGGACACCAAATCCTAATATTACACTTTCTTGTATAAAACAGTACTATTGACCTCAGCTAGAATTCTTTCTTTGGCTGGAATTTTTATATACCCCAGCCTCTGTAATATTTTTGGACAGAAAACAGAGGAAATGTTATTATGAAAGTTAGCTTTGGAGACAGTTACTGATGAATGTCAGATTTTGTACTGACCGATCCAGAAGAGTTAAAGGCCATGGAAGACAGTCCAAAATATATGGTCTACTCGTTTATCTTGCGGTTCCGTTACAGCTCTGAACGTTATTTACTTTGCATGGGGACACATCTCATACATATCAGGTGATGGATTAGACATCAGGGTCAAGCTCTGACTCGCCTTCATTTTTAAAACTCATCTATGTAGCAACTTTATATATACTTAATATATCAAACATCAAGGAAGTATGAATTTTTATGATCAGGTGGGCTTATCTCCTTAAAGTTTCTTTCTCCTGCAAATCAACAGGATATATAAGTTCTCAAAGAACAATTTCTAAATCACTTCTCCACAAATAATATTTAAGTAACTGAAAATAAAAGAACAATTTCCAGGAAGGAACAAAACCTAGTTCTGTTCTATGGCTTATCAATTACATTTTAAGCTTGCTCCCACTGTCAAGCAGCAGAGATTTTCACATAAATTTCGTTTTCCTTTAAGAGTGCTGAAGACAAAAAGTGTTGGCATGTGAAGAAAGCCCAGTTCAAAAATTTGTTTGCAACAGTTCTTTCATGTTCTAGCTGCTTGGACTAGATCCGAGTTTCAAAAGACATGCAGCTATCCTGTTGTTGGACAAGATCTTACCTCATTTTTTCACAATTAATCCAAATTCACATTAACCTGTTTTTGAGTAATAAATCAGCATTTATTCTGTTCTGAGGAAATTTAATTGTTCTCATCAACCTAAAATGTTAAGGTTATTTTTTGTAGATCCAGTAACAAGAAAGAAAAAAATAACATTTTCATACAATCAAAAAGGGCACTTTTTCCCCTTAGTGACTACATCCATTCCCTTTACAAGCAAAATAATAAAATGTGCTCTGTGATACATGTTATTCGCTGTAAACTGTTTTGAGCTTGTTTGACTGGAAACAGACTTGTGTAATGGCAAGCACTGCTTACTGCTGCCCATGCCACGCATTGAAGAACACCTTCTACATCACCACTAACATTCCACACACAGTGGAAGTGAAACTAATCAAGACTGGTTTAGATAAAAAATAAAAGATGAGTGTAGACATAGAACTTCAGCCATGCACTTTCTCAGAATTGAGTTTTATGAAGTACTTCATGGAATTTTAGCTTATCTTCCCCTTTTCTTAGTTACTATTAATTCTAAAGCTCATTTTTCTTTCAGTAAGCCTATCAAAACAAATCAATGTCCTTTGTGCACATAAGTTTTCTGTTGAACTAAAGAAAGTTCATTTTAATTAGAAGAGATGAGGAAACAAAATTGATTAATTTGTGTTGGTTGTGATGTTTCTGCGGTTCCTCTAGTCCTCTCCAAGGTGGCAGCAATGGTTAGCAAGGGCTCTGAGGAACATCTTGACACAGTGAACATGGCTACATCAGAATCAAAAGGTAGCAAAATTTCAAGGCTTAACCTTCAACAAGCTATTGAAGCTCACAGAATAAAGTAAACATCCTTGGTCTCATAACTGAGAGCTGAACATATGTATACTGCCAGTACACAATTAAAAGAGCTCTTTTATAGCCATTCCTTGTGAAGTTCATAGTATTTTAAAACACTGTTGCACAGAGAAAAGGAAGAAGTAAGTAATATGTATCCATATAGCCCATGATTAAATAAGAACACAATATAATCACTACCAAAAAATTCCAGAATTTTTTTAGGTGTAGAATTTCAATAAACTTAATTAAGAAAGTAAATTTAGTATCTAGGTCTCTTGTTTTCATCCCCATTTCTCCATTTAATAGTCTGTCTGTTTTCATAATACATTCATTGACTAAATAGGCAGAGTCAGCAGCTGTAGCTGACAAAGCCGAGCTAAAAATCACAAAAAGTATTTGCATGCTATTTCTATTCCTTATGCCCGGACAGCTATAATCTTTGGAGTACTTTTCCAATAGAATCCTAAGATAGATGCATACCAAGGTGCCCTTCATATTGCAGTTAATTTTCCAAAGGCAAACTGAGTATGGTACAAACACTAGGCTTGTTTAAGAGTCACACTCACAAACATGGATTTTTTGCCAGCCAGTACAATTGTTTCCTAAGCTTTCAGTATAAGATAAAACATTGCAAAATGTAAATCTGCAAGATCTTTCAGACTGTACTCCTTGTGGTGACATCAATTTGTCATTTAATGTTTACTCAGCATTTCTTCAGAGTGGTTCTACTTGTTCTACCTGGAGGCAGTCCAGGTAGCTCCTCAAAGAGCTTAAAAAAATGGAATGGTAAGCCTAAGGAGAAGGCTATAGATGAGTTCCTAAGCACTATAGAAAACCTGTCTTCTGCCTGCCACTCTCCTCTTAGATGCGTTAGTACAAAACTAACTTTTGGCTCAGTTTTTATTGCTGCTGCCTAGAATCCTAGACAATGTTATACCAGCTTGCAACTTCAGTAAAATACAGAAAAAACCAGAATAAATCCAGTCCTCATATTAGGAACTCAGCAGATTGTTTAAATCCATTCTACACGGTGAATGTCACCCTGTTAACAAAGTCAAGCTGCCACAACAATGTCAAAGGACGATATTTTACATGTCTCCATGTCCTGGTTTCGGCTGGGATAGAGTTAATTTTCTTCACAGTAGCTAGCATAGTGCTGTGTTTTGGATTTAGTACCAGAATAATGTTGATAACACACTGATGTT